AACGAATCTATCTCCTTGAAATATTGTTGATGTTATATCGTAAACATCGACCCCATTTTCTTGTTCTTTTCCCAAACAAAAATGGGCAAAGAACTAGTATATGATGATGTTGAGTTATCTACAGTGATTTCAGCTGATCTTTCGAGATTACCATCGTTATCCATAGTTGATTCCTTTCTATATTTTTTCCACGACATTTGCTATATACTATGTAGGTAATATATTATCACTTCTTCACTCTGTCGTTGAGTTGTATAAATGGTGTTTAAAGACAAAAGAGATTTGTTTGAGGAACCTCTCTTTAGAACATTTCTATAAACTTTGTTATTACGTAGATAATTGAATTAACTCACTCCTTAACTGCATCGTATAAATCTTGCTACTGCTGCAAAACACCAAAATGAAAATGAAAGAAGGATCTTTTTATTTTTCAAGTTAAAAAGTAAAGCAAAATACTTCTGTAGAACGAAATAAAGAGCACAATCTAATTGTTGCAAAAAAATAAAGAAGATACATACAAAGGATTTAATGACAGTAACATTTTTAATTTTTTTACTATTTATATCTGCAGAACATGTTACAATTTAGTTTTAAAATACCTATAGGTACAACAGTCATTTCTTAATTTTCAATGAAGTTTTTTTTAGTTTCTGGCAATTCTTGATTTGGTCAGTTAGTTTATTGGCACATCGCCAATGCTGTGAGTAAATATGTGGCAAAATCGTCCGTAGGTACTCGTATTTTATAATGTGTTCTTAGAAACTTAGGCCGATGCCTGAGTTTCTGATGCATTTCTGAAAAATATATATTAACATAATGACATCAACAGTCTGTAAAGATTTCATATTTTAATATGAGACTAACTTAAACAGAGAACCATAAAAAATAATATACTTCTCAATAAAACAAAAGCAATGTATAGTACAGAATTTATTTCCATATTATATACTCAGATATAACAGCAATTGTCTTCTTTCCACTTGATATATTTCCCAACAATATTTACATTACACTTTGGGTATCATGACGCTACAAAACACGCTTCGATCAAGTGATATAAACAGCTTTTTAAATACAATTATATACTAATCTTTTAGGATAGATAGATAATTTTTAACTATCAATCTGTAGAATTCTATTGACAGTTTAGTACTCATAAAATTTATAAAAGCTGCAAAGTGAATGGAAATCGCAGGTAAATAGAATCTGCACGGTGAATAAAAATCACTAGTAAACAGAAATTGCAGGTTGAACAAAAATACCGGGGTGTAAATAATGATGTCAAGAGAATAGATTTACTCAACTGAAACCCCTTTGTGAACTCTATTGAAATCAGAGATAGTTTCTATATTTAAAATATGGGATGAAGAAGGGTAGGTATATGAGTTTGTGACGTGGAATTTTCAGGAGGCATTTTATTGCATTACCTGTTTACTGATAATGGAATTATAATAATGGTACAGTAGCCGATGCAGGACCTCTCATTAATCAGTTATTTTATCATTTATTGTAATTCTGTGCAGTATTTACGGTGTTTTCATTGCTTTTTATTGCTGTAGCGACATGGTACCTTGCCTTGCCTGGTCCTATCACATCTTCCACCCATTTCTGCGATCAATGACTTCGGTACATACTTGTAGAGAAACATGGAACTTAACTTATTACAATAGAACAAATTAATATAAATGTCAGCCAAGGTTTTAGTCATTCTGAATGTACATATTGGTAAAGCAAACATGAAACAAGTGGCGTTTAATTTGTATAGTTATGTAAACTACGTGACAAATATCGGCAGCTGACAGGAAATAACACGTTTTGGTAATCAAGTATCAAACATAATTAAACCTGAATTACCAAAATCTGTCTGGCATAAAGTCCGGATTTACACAGACGGTGCCATGGTAGCGCCTGACGCAAAAAACATACTCATAACAATATTACAAGCGATAGGAAAACAGTTCAGCTCAAATTCGATATTCAAATACTTGTACGTAGTTGCAGTTATGGGACGTTTGGTACAAATTGGTATCTTTTCACAATGGACTCGATAAGAAAATGTCTAAACCCGGAGAAAACAGAGTTTCACGTTATCCTGGAGTACAAGGTGCCTCTTAAATGACTGTGAAAGCTACCCTTGGTCAATAAACTAAAATAAATGCATAATAAATCGACTTTGGTTTAAATGCGGCAACACACCCTAAAATCAATACCTTTTTACATTTCTGATTTAAACGGACTCAGATCATTTTCTTTTGTGGTTCAATGCATTCACTCTGCCTTAACGACTTAATGCTAGTATTATGTTAACTATTCATGTGCAGAAGCACTGAATACTTGCATGATGATATTTATGAGGAATTTTACATTGTTTAAGGGCATTATATAAATTGAGAAAAGAGTAAGCTCATATTAAATATTTTTAGGTAGAGGGGGTAACACAGGAGGAGGAGACAAGGAGTACTCCCTGAACTTATCCCTGGGCCGCAATTATCAGGCGCTGTCGAAGTCGCATGTGTTGCCCCCATCTGTCACGCGATGGACCCGGCACCCGCACGGCATCCATGGGACGCTAAGAAATAGCGTCTTTTTGGCAACGAATACGACGTTAACGTCTTACATATTTATTCTTTTACACTTTATTCTTCGAGTTTCTGACAGACATGAAACTGGAATAGATGTTTATCGTTGAAATTGAGTGTCAATGATACCAGTCGTATTAACATGTTCACATTAGTAATATTGCCTTGAGTTTAACAGCGATATAATAGAGACAGAAACAATTTAAACACAAAAAGGCACTTGGCACATAATGACATATTTAAGTTCCAAATTTCTCTGACAGCTGTACTTTGACGTCATTTTCTATGATACATAGGTCATGGCCGCCATTACATGACTGCCACTGACTTTATACATAAAATTCACTAATCTTTAAAGCAATTTACAAATATATTTTATTGCTACGTATAACTGATATAACTTATATTTTTATATTTTCTTGTAATTATTTTCATACTAAGTTACAGTTCATTAAAGAAGTTATTTTAACAAATTAATCAAAACTTATAAAACTTAGGCCTGCTTGTATAAACACACAATCATACATCATTAATTGATTTGCACACAAGTTTATAATCTTCTCTAAATATGATTTTAACGTGTATTTATGTAATTAATTACAAACATCAATTTATGTAAACAAACGAATATGTATAAAGGTCAACGACTTCTATTTTTTGTAAAATTGATAGTTCTACGTTTACCTGGAAGGAAGCACTCGTCCCCGTGGTTGCTAAATATTTTTTCCTATTCTCACTGGTATTCAAAGAGAACTTAAGATACAATAAAAGTCAATCTGTACCGTTAAGGCAAGATATCCGACTTCGATTTTATACGACTTTTGAATCTCTCTGTATATTATCGATGCATCCATTAATGAAATATTTACTGGGTGGAGTGTACCTATAAGTAAGTAATATTCCTACCGTTTTATTGTGGTTGACATTAAGACTTGTTTAGCATAAGCATTTCAAATTTACTGATAACTATCATTATCTCTCATAACGGGAAGGCAGTCTGACAAATCATTCATACATTCTTGTTTTAGAATACTACATTATTTCAACCTTTATAATAAATAATTTTTAATTTTATATTTGCTAGACTATTTTCCTTTCAACCATCGATCTCACAAACTATTTTCTTTCTGTCGTCAGTCGCCGATAATACACCCATTCCCACAGACAGTACGAGATTACAATAAAATGGATATTACAGTCAAACCGTTCAGATCATTACGTTCATTTACATACATAGAAGTCATTGATAAACGCAATACAATAGAACTAGAGACTAACTTACAAACTATTCTGTATCACATAACATAATTTTAGTTTAAATTATGACTTAATTAATATTATAAATAATAATAACCGTAATATTAATATGGCAACGAAATATATTTACTAGCTAAGCACCTAGACCAGTAGGATTTCAGGTATTTACACATTCTGTACATAAAATCCTTAATTTTAGAGTTATCACTCGCCTCTAATCGTTATACTTTTTTCTTAATAAAATTATTGCCCGTCAGCTAGTGTTCAACAATGCTTAAATTTTTCTCAAATAATTTATTATTATTATGACATTAAATTTTCACAAACACTCCGAAGTTTTTAAATGCAGAAGTATAGTAAAGCTTCATTTATAGTGTGTATATTCATCTAACGCTACGTATATTCGTCAAAACAAAATATTTACAAAAAGAAGACTGATATGAACTGTACATTATTGGGATATGCAGTGTTACATTTACAAAATTTCAGAGCTTATTTAACCGCAACACGCTTTGATATTAATTTGACCCAAAACGTGGTTACAATTTCATTTTACAAATCATTAATCATACTAATATATGCTATTGCATGTAATTTCAATAGAAATAAATAGACTAGGTAGATTGCAAGATTTGACTATTTTCTACAAATTATAACCGCAGAATTACATGAAAATTATATTGAAAATCACACGTTACGTGATGATTTGTCACGCTGTTTAACCCCGTTGTGTAGAAATACTTTTTATAGGCACTATCTCTATCATAATATGTTAATATACTGTAGTCTATTCGTTTCTTTTAAAATTATAGCATATACGTTAATCAAATTATTTACTGGCTTTAAACTACAACAAAATGTTCAGTGAAATCAATAAGACCTTAAATGCGTTCTTAACTATTATAGATATTTAAAATAATATAAATTACAGTCGATTTACTGTAATTTTATATAAAAGATATTACAATCATTCTTGTCACTACGCGGAAATCTGGATTGGACTTTGATTCTAACGTAGTTTGGAACTACCTGGAAACGATGGCACTAGACGTCAGGGCGCGTCGTGTCTTTTATAATCACTACTGTTTAGAAGTCAAACACGCGTTCTCGCACTCATGGTGTCATACAAATGATATGGTTATTCTTACTTGTGTAATGTGTCGCTTAAGTAGTGTAAGTGAGTGCGATATTAGCGACGAGTAGGAGTGTGACAAGTTGTGAGGGGTATAAGGCGTTGCTTGAGCCCGTTCGTGGTGTAGACGTGTCTGGTGAAGAATCGCTCGTATCGGTTCCGCTCCCTATTAAAAATAATAAAGTATTTAATTACAAATACCTATATATTTAATATAAATATTAACAATAAAATCATGAATTACGTTATCATTATTAGTTACGTCCTTTTTGAACTAAATAAATACAATGATAATAAAAAGAATCAGGTTGAAGTACTCGATGTTTTTACAAAACTTATAAAATGATGGTAAATGTAATAAACACGTTTATTACATTATTAATAATTATAAACGTTTACATAAGTATGCTTTTCTACCACAATATGCCTGTTTAATTAATCCCAGAATTTATTTAAATACCTCATTCTAAAATCGAATTCTTAAAGCATTTCAGATTTGTTAAGTATCGAAGGCATAAAACGAATTAGTTTTAAATAAGTAATTGATTTAATGATTATTGTATTTTTTATACTTACGTCCTTCAATTTCGCCAGAACCGTCGTCCCCGGAGCCCTCCGAATCGTAGTCGTCGGAGCTCCAGTTCCTTCCTGAACCAGAGCCTTCTTCACCTGCCTCATCACCTTGCATAAACGCTTCCGCTGAAGCCTCATTACTCCGGGAGTAGGATACAAGTAGCTGTGAAAAAAATACAGATATAAAACCCTGTAAGCTTGGAGAAGCTAACAAAAACTTGAAGCGTCTATTATGTGTAACGTAGCCAGCACTTAAAGAAAATATTCATAGATGTAGAGAGCTAAAAAGAATACCTAAGTTCCTATAATCTAGTTTGTTACATAATATAACAGAATATTAAAAAAAAAACAAACAGTCATTCGAAAATTCAATTTCAATATGTTACTATAGTATTAAAAAGAGCACAATTTGTCTTGAGAAACCCGTCCTGGTTGCACTCTACCTAGTTACTTACAAGAACAGAACAAGGTGAAGTGTTATTCACGTGTGTGTTGTGTCATCTCAATGAAAAGATTTTATTTCCAATATTTTAATTATTATTTTTGTTATCTTACACCTCGGTTTATCCTATTTCCAATTGTAACAATAAAATATCAATATGTATAAGCTAACTTACCTGTCGAGCCTGCTGAAGCCTGTCTGCCAAAGCCGTTACTCTCAAATCCTGAGGTGGGCTACCGCTGATCTCGGGGTTATATTTCTGGTCGCTTAGTGATGCAGATGAAACGAGGGGTTTTGTGTAACTAGAGGACAAAGAAATACTGGTTAATTATTGTTGGATATACCCAACGTCTCTTTTGTAGTGTAAAGTCATACAAGATTAAATAACTTCTTTAAATATTAACAATGAAATCAAATTTGGGGTTGTGAGAATCTAACTTTATGATCAATACACGAAGAAATACAAGAATACAACAGGCTTGAGGTTTACAAAAATAATAGTTATTTCCATTTTTACTTTATATTGGGCAAACGAGCAGACGGGTCACCTGATGGGAAGTGACTACCGACGCCCAAGGACTCCTGCTACTCAAGTGAATTGTCGCTCTTTGAGTCCCCCTCGAGAATCAGCGTCGAACTTCAAACTAAGTTCGTTTATAACTCAACGCCACAGCGCTGTCACAGCGTCGTATTTCAAACTAAGTTGGTTTGAAGTTCGACGCTGAGGCAGCGCTGTACGCAAGGCTGTTTTATTAGATAGTAGCACTGCAGGGGCGGAGGGGGGCGGTGGTTCGATGAAAAGCAATGAAGGCATTTCACCCATTTTATAGGATACACATGAAAGTATAATTACCATCAAAAAATACTTTTACTATGCAACCTATAACGGGTTTCTTAAAAATACTTTGTGCATAATAAAATGATATCTCCCTAAATAATCTTTAAAGAATCGGATTAACATCTCTAAAAAAATTTCGACATCGAAATTCAATATGAGAACATAACGACGTAAGCACATTCCTTCCACAATCATTAGTTTTCCTAAATCAAATACATATAAGTAGATATCTATATAAATACGATATAGAAAATCGTTTGGTTTAGGCAGTATCAGCTGCGAGAACAGATATTTTTTTAAGACAGGAGGCAAGCGAGCAGTGCCCAGTAAGTACAACCGCACATGGACACTTGTGACTCAAGATTCATAAATGCGTGGCCGGTCTTTGACCGAAATACCGCTGGTGACAATTTGTTCAATTGGATGGTTGTGCAAGGCAAAAATATACTTAATAACAGATACTTACTCCGCAACGGCGTTTCCATTCCAACAACGTTCTGAACTGTCTTCTTCTATTGCAAAGTCTGGCTGCTCGCAAAGTCTATCCGCAAGTCCAGCAAACAGTTTTTTTGTCGAAGCCAGGGTTGCGGCAAACTGCAGCAGTTCTGTATCTGGTGGTGGTGCTCGCAGGTTTTCTCTTCGGATAGAGCCAGGTGTAGGGTAGGGCGATGAAAAGTTTGGAGACTCCATCGTAGACGGCAGACCGCATTCTTGGCGTACCTAAGTGAACAAAATATTGTATATTAGTAAACAAAAAAGTTTCGTTAATCTTGTACAGATAAAGATAACCTGTAGTTATATTACTAATTAGCCGTCCTCAGTTTCACCTGCCTTTATGATCACTGCTCCTCTCCTAACGATCATAGCGTTATGTTAAATAGCCTACAAACCTTGCTCAATGAATATTCGATCCAAAACCAGAAAGAAATTAATTCTGGATATAGGTACGATGTATAAGTAATACTAAATAAACAACTCATTTTATTAAAAAACGAAAATGTTAAATAGCTTTGCGATTACATCATACGTTTGTGTGTTGTTGTTCTTGTTTAAAATCTCTATCTCTTACTTATTATTCCGATAAACTAACTATAAAACAATAGAAAAGAAGCCCCATATACTATACTTTGTAAGATTCTTTGTGTAAATGGAACAACCGCCTCATATCTATAATTTACATGAATATATGTAAATGATGATGAATCTAACAAACCATTAAAATTCACTGACGCCTTTAAAATAGCACGGCCTATATCTAAAATTAATGTCACATTCCAACAGTTGACCAAGAGTAGATAAGTTAATAAACGGCCCAATAAAATGGCTGTTTCATAACTTCCGCATCTGCGTATCTTGTTACCAATACAATGTATTTTCTATACGTTACCGCTATCTTATAAATAGCAAAAACAAGATGCAATCAGTTCTACTAGATGAAGATAAATGATAATGGCTAAACTGATGGTCTGTCATTCGTCGGGGTAATGCCGCCGACGCGACGGTAACGACATGGCGAATATGAATTGTGGTGTCAATAGTAAAGACTTATTCATGTGTATCGTTCTAGATACGAAAGCTATTCTAATATTCCTACAAAACCTACGTAATTCAATTTCCAGCGTCGAGATAAAAAAATACTAAAGTAGTTTTTAAACTTTAAAAAAAAAAAGAGCCGACTTCAACGAGATTAAATCACGATGAATCAGTATTCTTCATTCTTTAATTTTCACTGAGAGAATTAATTTAATGGTGTTTTCTTCAAACTAAAATAGGGCAAAAAGGAAAGTATGTAAGTATTTTACAAATCGGTAATTCAAAATGAAGGCGTGCTGCGGTATCAAACATTTAAAAAATTCAATTGTATTGAGTACAACCTCCATTTTTTAAAGACAGTGACATGTGCTATGTCACAGCACTACAGCATCAAGTTAACAATATGCCATCAAAAATAAAACTTGTAAAAAAACCAAGTCTCGCAACTCAGTTCTTTTATCGTATAAAGTTGTGAGATCCATGTAATACCAAGTCGGTTACTTTACTAAGTTAAGGGACCTTCTGGCTTAAGTTATTACGTAATTAGCTAACCTAACAACATCATATAGTGACCATATTAATATTAAAATTATTTTATGTTTTAAATAAAATAGATTAGTTATATAGTAATAGATTAGTATCGTTGCGAGAATATCAGAATAGTGTATAAAGTGCGGTGGGAGCAGTGGTCGCGCGTGCTCTTTCGTGTGAACGTCCTCATAGACGCGCGACAGGCAAATAAACCTCAACAACACAACGACGCAAATACTCACAAAGCTCCGACGTAATTTTGCAAAAAGCACCACATAATACGTCGTTCACTTCTATGAATTCGTTTTCTTTTGTTAACGTTTAGTGCATTCTTTAGTTAAACAACGCTAAGAAATATAATAAGTAATTATTTTTTAACTACTCGAACGCTATGTCAATACTAACTGGTTATTACAATAGATTTTCTGGGCAAGATTCTGGGAAGATTCTCTACATCTAGAGGGCTCGGCAATAGCCAATTCCCTTTGGGTCGATAATTACTACTTTTTAAAATGACTACTTTCTTGAAATGACTACTTTCCGGACCAGACCACGTTCCTAAAATGACTACTTCCTGAAATGACTACTCGCAAGAAATGAACACTTTTATAAAATCTTTACCTACTTGCCGTAAGAACGAAATTGTAGATTAAACATCACACATCTGTCAATTTTTATTAGAATCATTAATTCAAATTTAAAAGATCTTAAAATTGTTTAATTACTATTTAGGGTTAATTTTTATGGAACTACAGCCACACTGGCATGACATGCCGGCTGAATGGACCTGTTCAACCAGGTAAGTACTACACAGCACACTACAAGTAAGGACGATACAGCACTCTATGGCATAGATAATGGGCCAGTTGCTGGCCTGCTATAACTATTGTTTGCAATTGCCAAATCCAGCAATATCCCTTTTCTAACACATGTCTTTCATACCAACTATATCAACTTTTTTTTTCAATACATTCCTATCTCTCTGATGTGCCCAGTTGACGGCAATCCCTATTATGTAAGTGGAACTAAAATTAAAGTTTATCTACCCCTTCGGGGATATAAGCGCGAGGTTCATATCTGAAAAAGGTTATATTCATGGTGATTTCGTTGCGACTGTCAAACGCTCAGTCGCAATGCAACATTTAAGTTATATCTAAAAGTGCGATCAAATGCCAATAGTGTGATGTTTTCCTTTTCCCTCTAGACCTCTTTCACAGTCGTCTTCCACTATGTTGTTGATATAAATCAACATGTATATAAGCTTTGCAAAGTTGGACAAAGTTGGGAACTATACCCTGATCCCTGAAGAACGCAAAAGTTTTATTACGGCTCTGACATCTGTCGTGAAACGTCGTACAGAAAATGGGTTAGTTCAATATACCAGCTTTTATTAATACCACATTTATATTCGAACAAGTCTAGTTTGGAACCTAGTCGGAAAACTGTCTTACACGGTATGATAGAAGAAATTTGTGTTTGATGTTTAAAAATTAAAGAAATTAATAAACTCAAGGCCTAGTTATTGAATATTGTACTATGTTTTATACATAGTCATCTAAAATCTTGTAAACGAATTATAGGTACGTTTTATCAGACTTTTTGGTCAGAGCCAAGAGCATCAATGTGCGCAGTATAATAATATTCCATAATGAATTTACAAATTTCATTTCAGTTCATACCCATAAAGAAACAGCATCTTCTGTTAATAATAATTTATTTGCTTAATATATGCAGGATATACTGTAATTACACTAAAAATATGTTATAATTGACTTGCATTATGTGCTAATTACTTTTTACTGACCGTAAGATTTACCAAGATAACACAGAAAGGGCCGACCGCTAAATATAGTAAATATCATTACTTTTATAAAACCGGCTGGCACCGCCTTCGGTGTACTTACTCACTTGTAAAAAAAGTTGTTTGGTAAAGGATTCGCTTGCCGCGGGCTCTCTGTAATTACTGTGCAAGAAACCTAATAAAGCAAGTGATTTAATATAAAGATACCGTGAAATGTATAGACTATAGCTATCGCAACGAGATCACATATTTTTACAATTGTAGACTTTTGCTCGCTACAGTGTGGGTGTTATTTAACTGTAGTTAAAAACTAGGTCTGCTCTAATTGAAACTACAAATAAAGGAACTCTTTACATTCTAGTGAAACTCGCAGTTAATGCAACCTCATTTTCATACAACTAAAAAAGCAAATAAGCTCTTTCAAATGCCTTTAGTATAAATTTTAGTTAGATGACTTTTTTTTTTTAAATATAATTTTTATTTATTTATTAAAATAAATTATTTCGCCAAGTTGAACAATCATATTAAAAAAGTTAATATTGTGTGCATGTTATCGTCCAGTTTTACTTTAAAGTTGTTAATTTATTATAAAATCGTCAAACTAATATTACAAGTAAATGATTTGATAATATAAATATATATATATATAAGGTCGCTACGTTCTCCTTTCTTCCAATTTCTTCCTTAAACAGTAGGGAAACAGAAATAATCTTGCTAGCTTAGCTAAGAAATGTTCTTTATATATGCAATGAGTAATTGGACTTTACAACTATCGTACTCGAAAGCGCCCTAATTTCTCAGAATCCAAGTAAAAGATCCTCAGATAGAATATTTCAAAAAAAACTTTTTTGTAACAGTCATAACTTTAAAGTACAATTGCATTACTCGTAACTTATGTAAGTCTCCAGCTTCCTATCATAAATGCAGTTCTCTTAAAATATTTTTAAACATTCCGATATAACACTATAAACAATTATTCGATGTTTGTTTCTATCGCAACAAATATTTGTTTCGGGAGCAGTTGCCGGCTATGGTGCCCGCACTTACTAGTAGTATCACAAGTCAAACGGGTGGAGTTTTCCGTAGTCATGTGTCTACAAACCTACAGAAATGTGCTCTACCCTAACACCTCCTTCAATCTAATACCGTATACGTCTATTAACGTGTTCGACTTTCTATTATTTTAAGGCTTTTGAATTTAAATCTCTTTATGACACTTACGGCTTCTAATCGCTCTGACACAAGTTTGTTTTATAAGTTAATCTGCCAGTGAAAGATAGGGAGTTGCACAAACGTTAAGTATTGAAGCAATCGAAAATATTGTAAAAAGAAATCTAATCGAAGTTAACTATTTGTCAATCAAAGGAAAAAACTATGTTTTACAACTTGTAAGAAAAGAAACGTTTAACTTTGTATAAAGATCTACAGAAAGTCATTAAAATGTATTACAACCTTCTGAGAGTTTAGAAAGTTACGAAACAGGCAGTCTAGTCCACTTTCATAATTTTATCTCTATCACTAGGCTACCTTAGACATAAAGAAGAATCATACGATGATTATGCAGTAACATCCGTCTGATAACCTGTCTAGGAACTTGAATCTGTAAAATGTCAATGCAAATTATATAGGTCAATGGAATCAATAAAATTTGAAAACTTGATAAAGTATGGTTGCATTTTGACCACCAGGCGACATCTGTTGTAATATAATTATCATATATATTTCAGGCAAAGACTGCTGTCTTGCTCTGGTCTTAGCAGAGAGGCAGCTCTTTTTCGGATAACGGTATAGAAAAAGAATTTTGAAAATCGGTTTACAATTGACG